TTTGGAGGCATAAGGCCACAATGACAAAGGCATGTTAGCCTGGAGGAGGTTGGAGCGCGCCCCTTCCAAAATGGTACGGACCTCTCGCTCAACAACCGAGTGTTGGTATTCAACAGAAGTTTGGTGTTTAAAACCGAGCTCTTCAATGGCGTCCAACATTTCTGGAGCGTTGTCGGTGTACACTATACCAACAATGTCAGAAGTCTTCAGAAAATGTTTGAATGCCTTCACGATGGAATCGGCCGTCTTGTTCTCAGAAGGATAAACACAACGGTATTGAGTATACACATCCTTGATCACCAACATTGATGTTTGGCCTTCTATCCCCTCTTCAATGTCTTTGGGGATGACATGGTCGCAAACAATGTGGTCCCCAAAACCACGGGCCAATACATGTTGTGATCCACCCACGCTTCTACCGTAGGGTGCAAGCATCTTTGCTTCGCTACAAATATCGCAGTATGGGTTCTTTGGTCGGTGTGTAAATTGATGCGCCCCTGACTTTGCTTCTTTGCGAAGTTGTTCTTCGGTCTTTTCCCCTGCTACGGGAACATCTTCAAAGTCAAAAGGAACTTCAACCTCCGGGTCACTCTCTTCTTCATCCTCCTGTTCCTCATCGGCATTGGCAGCTACGCCAGCCTCATCTTCGTCTTCCTGTTCATTCTCGGGTTCAGACTCGCGGCTGGCCATAGCAAAGCCCTGGTCGATGGTGAACTGTTGGATGGAGTCGAGCGCCTTAGTAAGTCTCATCCTGAGTGACTCGGGGATCGAGAATGGGGTGCAAGTCTCATCAATGTATGGAACCCTGCCCTGCAATTTAAATTTCACGCATTTCCCATCAGGTCGGAGGAATATTGGGGTAGTGTCCTTTCCCCAAACAAAATCATATCCCTGTTCTAGGCATCTCAAACCGATTGAGAGTGCAGAGGGAGTGCTTTTAAGAATGTAGGGATTGAAGGATTCACATAACCCCGGGAGTATCACCTCAACTACATCTTCAGCAGTGATTGGTCCATTAGCGGTAGTGAGGGATATTGGCTCATTGGATTTGAAGATTTTAGTGGCTCGGCTGACTGTCTTTGAGTCCTTGCCTACAATGTCCTGGTCAGTCCCGGTATCGCCCAGCCACTTCTCCATTCCAACTGTGCTAGGCATCGCTGTTAAGCGAGCACGTGAAGGTACCTGTTCACCGATGACCGTCCTACACTTTGTGCAGCACAAATCGTCGGGGCCTTCTGGGGAATGTTCACAAAGGAAATCACACGCAGGCTCCTCGGTATCCATTGAATCGAGCATCTGCCTAAGCGACCCCGCTGCCAAAATGGCGTCCTTAGTGTCACACTCGCGGGACTTTGGGCATTCCTCAGTGGTCCGGAACAGGTTCCGCCTTTTGCTCTTATTCACTACACGCCGGTACATTTCCTTCCAAACAGGGAAGGTGTGTACCTCAGGCTTGAATTCAAAACGAATTCGCTTCTCTTGCACAACACGGAAAATTGATTGCCCAGTCCAATCAAACCCTTGTTTCGCGTTTGGGTGTTTCTTCCAATCACCCTTCAAGGTCCTACTCTTCCCCTTTGCGTCTTTGACCACCATGGTAAACCGGTTTTCCAACCTAGACGACTCCACTGGACAGGATTTACGTGTTGGGAGAAACAACCTGTTCCTTGGCTTTAAATGGTGCCTTATCAACTCAGTGCCATCTTTGGAGAATTCCCAGTAGTCTTTACTCTTGTGGTTCCGAGTAGCGGTTGCTGCTAAGCAAGACATTGCGAAACCTGTTTGAATACATGGACTGGCCTTTGGGCTTTTCTCTTTCTTTTCCCGTTTGCTCTTCTTGTCCTTTTTGTCCTTCTTGGATTTCTTGTCTTTAGACCTTTTAGCTGCGGGAGAGGGACTTCTTCTGCGTGGGGCCGGTGTAGCCGTTTCACCGTGTTTGAACGGACATTTCTCACCCCTTTTGCAGTTGCCCTTAGCAAAGAACCTGCATGGCTTTTCAGATTTTCTGCCTCTACTTGAGCTTCTTGATGAGTTCCTTGAACTATTGCGGGAGGATGGTTTCGACGAGCTTCTTGAACGGCTTGACCTGAAAGAGGATCGACCACTTGAACTTGCGCTACGCGATCGTGACGACTCCCGGCTAAGGGAGCGGGGACGTGCACTAGAGTCGTGTGAGTACTTGCATTTGCTTCCGTACTTACATTTGCCTGTCTTGGCGAACTCATAGCATTGATAGTTTCCGTCACCCTTTGCGCTCCTTTTGCCATAACTTGGGCTTCGCGTACGCTTGTCGTGTGGCGCGGGATTTGCATACTTTGCAGCATGCGATTGTGAGATCTTCTCACGATTGGTCCTCAGCCTTTCGCGGTCAAGATACCGTCGAACAGAATTAATGAGGAATTCATAACTTCTGTCACTGCTCCCTTCCGCTGCCCGTTCATAAACATCAAGGTCAAATCTGAGTTTACGGGACTTCCTGACCTCTCTATAGAACAAGTCTTTGAGGGTTGCCAGGTCAGGAACATGACTCATTCCGGTCAACACACTCTCCCATTTCCTTAGGAAGGATTTCAAGTCATCGCTGTCAAGCGAGATTTTCAGGAGGTCTTCCGTACCATACAGTGCACCCGCTTCTTCACTGGTTTTGAAGTGGACTTCAAACATGAGCAGAACCTGACGACCGCGAACGATCCTACCTTGCTGTGCCTCAGACTCCTTATAATTAAGGATTTGCTGAGACAGTTCACCTTTGGCGACCTTAGTCAAAGCGGCAAGAAGTTTCGTGTCTAAGGTCCGAAACTTGCCTGGGTCAGCGAGCTCGGAACAAAGCTTTGCTTTGTCCTCCCGAACGGCGTACACCTCAAGCACCCATGCAAACGCAGCATCTGGGTCGTCGGACGCGGACCGTATCGCTTCGCGAACAGCGGCCCTCCAAGTGCGGTACCTGTCAGGACTCGGGAATTCAGGGAGATCTATCTTATCGGCCTCTTTTGCCTTGGGTTTGTCGGAATCTTTGCTTTTAGCGCCCTTAAACCCCTCTAGCAATTCCCTTTTGATGATTTCCCCTAAATCCTGATCTTGTGGAGTTCTTACCTGAGATGCCGGCCCTTCATCCTTGCGATCATCCTTTTTCTGTGCTGCATCCTGGTTAAAGGAGCTTTTGTACAGTGGGTCATCGCTGAAGTTGTACTGTGCCGACTTCATCTTGTAATCCATCCACGGATCAGGTTGCTTGAACTGTTGCCTGTCAGTGGAGGCTGTTGCCTGTTCATTTGCCTTCGCCCCTGTCCCAGAGAACATTGAAGGAAATCCTGTGTTGCGATTTGTTGCCGAAGCATCCATCGCTGTCTTCATAGGAATTCCGGCCGGGTCTGTGGGCGAACCTTCTAAGGTTGCAGGAACTGTACCTTCTGTACGAAGAGGTTCGAAGGAACGAGGTTGACCAACGGGATGAACATTCGGTTGAACAGGAGGTGGAGGTTGCTCTGGTTGCTGCGGCCCTGGTTTAACTGGGCTAGCGGCCTGAACTTTGCGCTCGGTTTCCTTGCGCTCCTCCTCCTTGTCCGACAAGGCCTGAACAACACGTCTAAGTTCATCCATTTCACCCTTCAACGCTACATTGTCCTTGCGGAGTTCAATGATCGTTTGCTCCTGGGTTTCGCGGTCAACCGCATGTTGCGACTTAGTCGCCTCCATTTCACAAAGCAATGATTTAATCTTTGCTTGCGCAATTGCCAATGAACTGGACAACTCCTCACGCTTGAAGTCAAGGTCTATAGCAACACGGGCTTCCTCAGCTGAATTGAATCGAGCTTTGTCTGTTGCCTCTAGTGCTGCCTTCAACTTTGCTTCTTGTTGTTCCGTGTATTGCTGGTGCTCAGTTCGCATCCTCTCGACAAAAGCGTTGGTTTCCTCCTCCAAGGTACCCTTTTCCTGCTGAATCCTCTCATTAGCAGACGTGGCCTGGGCTAATCTTTGCTGAAAGTGCTCCCGTTGTTCCTCAAGTGTGCTTTGCAGTCTTCTGATCGCCACATTATCTTGATGTTGAGCCAACTGTTGCACATTGTGTTCTTGTTGTTGAGCTCTTTGCTGCAAATTCAGCATTGCTTGCTCCGCCGCGGCCTTCGTCGCTGCTATCGACTCAGACGCTTCCCTCTCATAGATGTGTCTGAACCGTAGTGCTTCATACTCAGCTTCGCGCCTAGCTTGCTCGTTGAGCAACAACTCATGTTGCTGTAATTCCCGTCGTAGTTCCTCGTCACCTGGCGTAGTGTTGAGGTTGACGACATTGAATCTGGTCATCGCCAACAAGTTGTTTACTGTTGGCGCACCAGCTACGGCGGCTGACGGCATACCTGCTAGGGTAGCTTGTGTCGCCTCTTGAAGAGCAACACTACCACCACTGTTTAGCATCTCTTGGTATACCTCCGAGGCTACCCTTGGATCCATTGCAGCAACTTGTGCGACAGCCCTTTCATGTCGCTGAACTGCGTCCAAACTATTGGGTGTACTCGGAATAATGTCAAAGCCATTTCCGTACGAGTTCGGTGCGGTGTCGTCATCCATCGGGTCCATAGCTCTAAACGTGCTAGCCTACGGCTGATAACCTGTATTTTACAGGATCAGCTCTAATAGTTCTAACTACCTAGCTAACCCTGATAGTCCGGTAAGCGTACCTTTTGTACTCTACCTTGAGAGTCCACGCTACGGGGTCCATAGGGGTGAGAGGAATTTCAACACTCTCAAAACACGAAAAGAAATGGAACCACCGGCGTTCAATTCCGTTCACAGGCCGACTGGTCCCGAAAAACCGGATTGGAGGGGTGCGGCCCCTCCATATGAGGGGTCCATGAGCGTCTGGGCCAAAGGAATCCTTTGAAAGAAACAGCTCGAGTCGTTTCAAGTGTCTGCCTGCCTATCGGCCTATCGGGCCGAAACGGAGCGCTCTATGTAAGGAGTCCCAACTAACGAGCCGCCCCTGGTCAAAACGAGCACCCGGCGCTCCGAACAGCGACATTCCCGCGAAGGGATTGGCCACGGGCCTTGCCAGCTGGAAAAAAAGACATTTCTGCTTGGCTTGCGGGGATGATTGGTGTGCCACCTCATACAAGAAAATTAGAGAAAAAAAGAAAGGAGCATGAGTCGACTCCAAAACGTGGCAGCAAGCTCAGGCTGCAGCTGACTGGCCTGAGTTGGGCGCATCGTAACTGATTTGACATGAAATACTCTGATTGATGTGCTCAACTCCACACAACGATTCGGGGTATATCCTATGGGTTAGTAAAGGAATTCTCAAACATGATGATGGTCCTTTTTACCGACTGTGACTGGAAATGACACCGGAAGGTATCGTTCTGATCTACCACTGCTTTCCACCCATCTTCGTCGAGCGGCTTCATCCGCGGGCTCGCTGCCCTGCTTTGGCTCAATCACCTCAATCACCGTGAAGTCGGAAAAAGCATCACCGGCCATGGCTGGTGACCCCTTTGTTCCGGGTTCTTTCGAATGGACGAAGAACATACACCACGCCCAGATACGCCCAACGACGTGCATCGAAAATCTTCCAAAAAGGTAAACCCTCGACGGATGCGATCAGGCGATCTGTTCCGAAGCCAAGCAAAGCAATTCATCAATCACTTTCTCATTCCCAGCAACCCCCTGCAGCTTGCAGGATGTTTGCAGAAGCTTTGCTATTGTGCATCTGCCAGTTCTCTCCCAACTTGGACCCTTCACTGAATCTTGTGGCTGGACTGGCTCTTTTGCAGGTTTGGGCTCGCTTCCCGTGACTTCTTGCACTTGACATACCTGGCTCACCAACCAGCAGTTGTTGACAAAGTGTCGCCAAAACAAGACAAAGCAATAAGGTAAAACTGGGAAGCCGGGCCTTGGCATTGTGTTCCTTTGCATTGTTGAACGCTTCTTGGAACCTAATATAAATGCAGGCTTGGCAAATCAAAACCACGTTGGGTGCACACTTTTTCACTTGCTTCCGTGCATCGCTGACAAAGGATCTGACTGCTGGGCCAGCTCTACTTCCTTGAAGCGTAGTGCAAACTGCTCTACCTGAGCTTCGTCCTGCACAAATATGTCTCGGAAGGCTTTCTAATCAACATTCTTTCTGCGCTGCATCCGCCATATTCCTCAGAGTAGTCCATCATTGTCCAAACCCAGCACTTGTCGCCTTAAATTTGAAGCAAGTCGCTCTAGAATCTTTAAGGGTCACAAAAGTACATAGACTTGCTGCTTGTAGCTTGGGGTTCAGGCTGCCTTGGTTTGGTTTCAGGTCACAGTAGGGCGGGAAGGCATAGATGTAGTGATTTGCGACCTCGTAACACTCGGATGCAAGCTGTTTTGAGCAGTGTCCACTCAAGGCCTTGAGCCTTTCCCAACACATCTTTCCTTTGATGCTGAGGTGTGTCTCAGGCAAGCACAATCTTGCCAGTCCTCTCTTGTCGCATCATGTAGCGAATCTTGCCAGTTCCCTGACAGTGTTGCTTCGGGCATGTAACGAATCCCCCACAACAAAAAGTGGAACACATCTCAACATGCCTACTGCCTACCTACCACCTTTGGTCCCGCGCACCCTGTGTCTGAGCAACTTGGAGTCGCCGAGCCCCCTCTCTTTCCATTCGCCATCTTTAAAGCGATACCTGCCAAAGCCAAGACCACGGCCAAGAACAAACTCCATCAAACTCCCTATCCCTATTTCTGAGCTTTTGGCTCTCTCTCTCTCTCTCTGATGCCAAAAAGCTCACACCGCAACAACCTATCGGCGCACAGCTTGGACCGTTGGGAATAAATCTCATCCTCATCTTCTTCGCCCGTCGGCACCTCCTGAGACGACCACGTCCGCACCTCGTCCGGTCCGACCGGAGCGGATCCGGATTCGCGTCGGTCGCAGCGACCGAACACATCGAACGGGACCGCCACGTGGTTTTGGTGGCGCTTTTGGCCCTTGGATCACACGATCGCTACGCAGTTAGAAACTATGCTCGCTACGAACGGAACAAGTGCATCGCTTCGTTCGTAACAAGTGCCTTACTAGTAGTTTTTCAGAAGCTAGTAGAAACAAGACTTAGTAATTGATCTGCAGAAAGACTTCAAGTTCAAGTTCGGTCCTGCAGATCCAGTGACACTGAAGGGGCCCAACCTGTGGAGTCGAGTTCGGGTTCGCACGTGAGGACGTACCAAGTGACCATTGGGCCTGGCACCGCGGTCACCTCCTCTTCTTCCACAAGCTCATTTTCCTGTGCTTCCGGTCCATCCTGAAGAGGGTCCAAAAGCAGCTTTTCGTGACACCATGTGAGACCAATGGCTGAAGCATGAAGCTACTTGAATTCGATTGGGGTCCTCAGCCATTGGACGACCAAACAATGTACACCTACGAGGGAAGCAGAGGCATCAGCTACTTTTCGAGCCCACGCGGCAACCAAGTCAATATATCCTGCACATGACTCCTACCTGCCAAGAAGTTCTCTCAGCCACTGCTCTTTCCGCGAGCTGCAAAAGCCAGCACTTTTTGCCGTTCCAGCCGTGCCAAGGTCCTCGTTTCGCACGGCGATGCGAGTCCCGCTGCGGAAACCTCCCAAGAGCTCAGTTGCAACCGGTCCGTTCACCTGTCGTCACCGCGGCATCCGCACCGTCGTCCGTTCCAACGGCGTTCCACCGGGCGTTCCACCCCACATGTCCACCGGCATCTGCTCGACCCGGTCGCGTGGACCCGGTGCTTCCGAAAGCGCGCGGTGGTGTCTCTCAGTGTCCCGGGAGTCGGGAAAACGCCCGAGCTCAGCTCAGCTTCGACTGCATGTAGGAGGAAAAGCGGATAGGAGACGGTAGGCCTCACGAAGTGATGTGCGCAAGCACTCATCGCAGCAACTCATGGCACAGCTTGGCGGCAACTCATGGCACCGGGCTTGGGGCTTGGAGAGACAAATTGATCGTAGGTCCGGGCTTGTGGCATCCAAAGCGGAGAAATGGGGTCCTCCGAAATGTTGGAGGAAAACCACTACTGGGATCCGGGGTTGGGGTTGGCCTTTTCACGTCACTACATATCACTACCATGCGACACACCTGTGCCACGAATCCTCCCCAAACCTTTTGGAGAGCCTCTAAATGGGGCCGTATCCTCTGGTAAAGTCCTCCGTCCGTCCTCCATCCGGCCGAGCTTCGGGTATCTCTTCCACCTTCAAAGCGAAGTGCCAAGGGCAAGCGCGTGTCTTCCGATCGCCATGGCAACAACCCCGGCTCGCCCAGAACAGCGTGCCACAAATACTCCACGACATAACAGGGCATGTTCGCAACCTCAGTGAACAGACGGAAAACAAGCGCTCTTTCTTACATAACCGGGCTGGTCATAACCAGTAAGCCTCTGATATTCCTATAATATCCATGATAAAAATGATTATGTGACAGGTCAGTAATCCCATAATATTGTTTCATAACAAATTGCATCGAACCCGTTCAGGTGGAATGGCCCAGACACTTCACATAGCCCACCGGCCAGGGCCGTGTAAGCCCCCTGTTGCACTGCAGACAGTAGGTTTTCCAAGCGTTCCGGAGGAACACTACGAATGCGCTTGGAGCTGACGATAAAGTGACCGCAGCAGTAGGTGGAAAGGCGACCCTGAAGCTCCTCACCGAACACCAGCTTATAAAGCGATCTCAGGCAAGGTGTGGAAGCAGATACATAACGCTCATGAGCAATGTTGAGATAGTCTGCTGTGTATGATCCATGAGTCAAGCTGCGGAAGATGATGGACAAGAAATCAGGCTTCAAGTGACGAGGAGCATCATCATGGATAAAGACCGTGTAATCTGCCAAGGAGTTGATTGGCGCAGCATCTGCCAGGCCATTCAAAATGTGGCGCAAGTAAGCAGTACACTCACCTGTCATCCACTTCCCCTCATCTTGCATTGGCACTACCAGGATCTGCGCTACTCGTCCGACGAGGCCTCAGGGCTGAACTTGAGGGGTGAGCGGACGGAAGGTAGGCATACAGTATTTGGGAGGTGTGGAGATCAAAAAGTTGGAAGACATTGGACTGGTGCTTGTTCTTTGGAAGTGGTCCAATACACTTGGCCGTGTGCGCAGAGTGTGACGCACGCGTTGCGCAGCAATTGTCTGAGAGGAAAGGCATCGATCTAGCCTAGCTGCTTTTCCATTCCTAAAGTAGATTGCATTTTGTAAAGATACTCCAACAAATAGCTCTACAGGTAAATTGAACTCAGGTAGCCTGCGCATACCTTTACCCTGAGAAATGTGAGCAAAAAGCACAGCCGCACAGGCAGCTCCCACAGGCTCCTTCAAGCTGCCTCTCGAGGTTGCCATCGCGCTCCTCACACTTGCTGTAAACAACCACACGGGCCTGGCCATGAGCACAAACCGGCCTGAAAGAAACAAAACCTCTTCGTCAATCCGAAAAATTTTGCCTCAGAATGGAGCATGGGACTCCTCTGCGCTTCGACTCCTGACTTAACCAACTTCACCCGTTTTGAGACCCGTTCATTGGGAACAGTTCCAACTCAGGCCTGTGGAGGGAGCGGCAGCGACCACAGCCACCGCAACGTCGTACTGCAACGGGCGATCACCTCAGAAGTTGTATTCTCGATTCTCGAGATGACTCTCTCCCTTCATCGGGGGATCTATACCATGGGGTGAGACTGAGAGAAAAAAGACATGCACCCAAAAGGCGCAAACTTGCCATATCATCAGTAGCTCTGACGAGTCGCTATATCAACGGATGGTACTTCGCTCGAATCTCTCGAGGTCGCCTCCGCTCGAGCCAGCTCGGCGCGGTGCTGCCCCTCTAGCACTGGCCACATCTCAGTCATCGTCTCGAACTCTTCTCCTGAAGGCCCGAGCTCTGCCCCATACACCAGAAGAACAGAATCTGTGGCGTCTGTGGCCACCAGCGCTACAGATTAGAGTCAAGAGGGGAACAACTTAGAACAACGATGTCAAGTGTGATCCTAAAATATCCTAAAATCCTCCCTCTGTAAGCTGAATAGATCGGTTGACCCTTTTTCCATTCGAATCCCCCTCCAAACCCTCCACGAACGAATTCACCACTCAGTGATTCGGTTCTTCAGGGAGTTGCTGTGAATCCATCCATCCCATCATCCATCCAAGCGTCTGTCCGAATTGAGCCTCAGAGAAAGCAACGAAAAGAGACGTTCACAAGGTCAAGGTGTTGTCGGGGGGGGTGCGAATATGAGCTCGATCTGTGCGAATATGAGGGGGCACCCGTTGTCAGGAGGTCCAACCTCTTCATTCGCCTGAAGGAGAAGAAAAAAAACGAAACCGGTTGAACCCGTCGTGTCTTTCTTCTACAATTCTACGCGTCTGACACATCATATAGCTCGAACGGCGAGGTTCAAAAACTGCATGTAGCTCTTGGCCATGTGCAAGGGATCTCTGGAGTCAGCCGGCGGGGGAAAAGCAAAGTAATGCGCCTCCGCAAACAAAAGCAAACCTGAGACCACCATGCCAGGACAGAGTTGAAAGGCTCCATGCAATTCCTCAGCTGGTGAAGGAAAGAAGAATTGTGATAGGGGCGGAAAAAACACGGAAGGAATTCGTGCCGCAATGTTCTCCAAAAGCATCAACCAATGGACGTCCCCCCAAGGTCCATGTTGGACGCAGAATCTCCACAACCTGGCTGAAGGAAACGAAAGTGAATCCAAACCCTGCGCCAGGGCGCGTCGAAAGGCATGCTCTTGATCAAGGAGGCTTCTTCCAATGGTGGAGCACTGCTCTTTCCCTGCGGCACAAAGCAAATGCTCCCAATGCATTCCCAAAGCACGGTTGTGGAAGGACTCTTCCAAGTGCCAAGTGCCTTACCCACCTCTCTCCTTCAGCTACTCCCACATCACAGACATTCACAGACCTGACCCCCTGCCTCACAACCTGCCTCACAACGTGCCACGACGAAGCTTTCGGCTAACCCTCGCGCCTCATAGAAGTCCCACAAACGACGTTGGAAGTCGAAGGCGAGGATCTCAGACTCATGGCATCCATCTTGTCCACACATTTCCATCTTCAGCCGGGCAGTCCAGTGGCAGCCCTGAGGTGACGGGTCCGCACGAGACACCACGTGGCGAACGAAACGTCCCAGGAAAAACCATGCATGCCAAGCGAGTCGGACAAGCCCCAAGATCTCAAAGTCAAAGGAACTAAGAATGTCTTGTCACGGGTGGGTCAGGGGGGTGGCTTTCCTATGTCTGCCACTATGGCAAGAGCGATTTGGCCCAAGCTCATTTCTACAAGTAGACGCCGACCACTCCACCCATGTGCCTTCTCTGACTCACGCCGATCCTCCTGAGGCACCTCCTGGATCACTTGAATTCACATGACCCGCCGAATGAGTTCAAGAGTTCAAGATAAACCAATCTGAAGACATGACCCGTTTCTGGGTTTGTTTGTTGATGTTTGGTGATTTCCCTTCTGTTCGATCTACTCCAGGATGAAGCGTTATAGGATAAAGTTCTACAGACTCCATCCTGAAGGCAGGCTGGGTCATCTTTGTCTCTGCACGGCGACCGGAGAAGTTGACGAAATCACATGGAATCAATATGTGCAATGCGATCAAGAACTCAGCTTGGGACATGGCTAGTCGGATTCGAATCCAAGAATTGGGAAATCATTCAGGTTGTTCCACCCAAAACCCGGACAGACGATAGGATCCGATAGGACCACTTCCCCATCGTCCTCGGAGGATGAAATGTCCGGCCTCAGCATCGAGTCGACGCGCGCGCGCGCGCGGCCGCGCGGGCTCGGCACTGGTCGCGCACCAAGAGCTCCCCTCCGCATCTGGATGAAGCATGCACGAAAGAACTCATCGAATGCCGGAAGGCGACACCAAGGTATGGTTTGGTATTCTGACGTCCGTCGCCGATTACAAAGAATCCACCACCATCCAGCCATTTGCGGCTCGCACAAATGCAGCGCTCGCTCCGCTTCTCGACGCTTCGGGACGCGTTCCGGGTCCAGGTCACACGTGCAGTTCGGGGTCGAAGTCCGGTGACTCGCGGGGCACGCCGCTCACCTGCGGTGGAAGACTCCACCACCGAAGGACTTAAAGGAAGGTCCTTGACTTAGGATCACTGAAAAAGACTCCGTGCTTGAAAAATGTCTTGGAAGAACTCCCAGGGAAAATGTGTGAAAAAAACACAATTTTGGAAGGGGCTGCTTTTTTTTTAAGAACTGATGGCAGGATGAACAGAACCCGAGCCTGCAACATCTGAGGTCTTTTCAAGACATCCGTGTCTGCAACTGGGAGTGGCAACATCCGAGTTTGACAGTTCCAAGTGGCCAAGCCAAGGAGGCCCAAGCGAAGCAACCATGCAGCCATCCGAAGAACCATGTGAAGTGTTACTCCAGAACATTGAACATTCACTCGAGCCCCAGGTTTGTGCTGTGCTGGAAGGCATGTGACCTGCACAAGGGAGAGCAATCGCAAAAGGCGCGCTGCATGCTTTCGACGCGCAAAGCGCATGGGCGAGCCGTGCGAGACCGGTCCATCCGAGCTTTTTTCCCGACATCCAGCATGTACTTTGCCATGCATCCGTGTCTACCAGATATCCCTGTAAGAACCCTTGACACCACCGGCATTCTGTGAGTGAAGACCTAGCAACGGCGTCAGGAGGTCCCAGGGCAGCATTTAGGTAGCCGAGTTCGGCCTCATTCAGCCTAGTTGGCTGGAAAAGATGTGTCCTCGCCACGTGCGCCCAGAATCATTGCCCGGGCTCACAAGCGGTGCGTGGTCTCCATCAGACCTCGACCAACGGACCGCGCTCTTCGACGCTTCCACCGGACGGCGCTGTTCGGCCGGACGGCGCAGTTCCCGCGCCTGGAGCTCCGGCGGGATCTCCCGCCGCATCCTGCGATGCTCCGCGTCCGGGTCGGGGGCAAAGGGTCCGATCGGTGTGTTTGGATTTGACCCAAATCTATGGGGACCGGTGCGACGTTGCGCCAGCTGTGGACGTCGCCACCCAGCTTGGCTCTTCCGGGGAGCGAGGCGGAACAGGAGGCGCTGCTCAAGACTGACTTGAAAGGGACAACAAAAAGGCGCTCTTCGGCCATGCAAGGGTCCGTGTTGCCGAGGATCATGGGAACCGGCATCTCTGCCTAAGCGAGTGGAGGAACAGATGGTGTCCTCGTTTGACAGGAACACTGTACAAAGTGCTGGCGTTTCACTCTACTTACCAACTATGTCCCGTTGAAAAATCTATGTAAGCGTGACAGCTGCTGACCTCTTCCTGCAAACTAGGGCCTGGAGCATCCTGAGAGGCTTCAAATGCGACAAATCCCTTTAAGTAACAGGCTCTCCCTTCCTTCCTTTGAAGTTCAGCTGCCTCCGCCTGTCAAGCATCGAGCAAGATCCATTGAGTTGACCAAACTGTGAGGTGGCTCTCACTCACTCACTATACTCACTCACTCTCTCTCTCTCACTCTCTCTCACTCTCTCTCACTCTCTCTCACTCTCTCTCACACTCTCTCTCTCTCTCTCACTCTCTCTCTCTCTCTCTCGCTCTCTCTCGCATGGATGTGTGGATCAACTCCGTCACTTGAGCTCCTTAGCCCCTCGAACAATGAGCTAACAAGAATCGACCACGGCTCTGTTTTCGGACGCCCTTCCTCTCTCTTCTCAGGGACCGGGCATGAGCAGGCGGTCGAGGACGTGTAGACAGTGTAGAGAGCAACTCTCCCACACTCGCCATGCCTCAAGTGCCGAAAGAACCCGATCCAGAACCCCCCAAGTCGCTCCCTTTGCACCATGCAAGACCATTTCCAATTGACATGCTCATGAAGACTACTCCAGCCACTGAGCCTCTGACTCGTGCTCTCCGGGAGCAACAGGAATCCCAAAATCCGCGGGATCACCTGCGCCGGGCTCCAGCCCCTCAAGACCCGCTAGCGCCCGCCCGACCGCCCGACCTCCGCTGGCTTGTCGCAGAGGGCGATGTGGCCGGCTTGTGGGATCACCAGCAGCTTCACGTTCGAGAAGAAGCTCGCAACCTGCGGCGAAAAGTTTGGATGCCAGTGGTTTGTTGCTCACCTCCTGAGCCTTGAATAGGACCCCCGCCACACAAAGGAAATTACCAACGATTCAGCACAAACCCGAGGAAAATACAGGCAAAACGACTGACGGCTGTTCAGTGGTCTTTCCCGCTTCTTCTCTTGATTGCTCTCTGAATGGAGAACAGGCATTGAAGAAAGCAAGAAATGAACACAGCTGCTCAACGAGCTTTGACATGCAAAAGTATCGCATAATTTCGCTCTGCTAGCAATGTTTGGGATCTCAATACGCATCACCAGCATCATCACGCCAGACACATTCGCATCATCCGTCTTGTATATTTCTGCAGCTTTTCTCTATCCATGAACCAGTGAACAATTTGCGAAATTCTAATGCACAATAGTGCATCAGTCCTACTGAGTCCTCTGGTTTCCACCCAGCGCCGCTCCCATCAGGCCCCACCTTCTGCCCAACCGTGGCTGGCGGGTTCAAGTTGTCTCGTTCACCCCACACTAGCAGGGTTGGCCTGGGATGCCTGCGTGGCGCAAGGGAGCCGGCTCCGGCTGTGGCACACCGTGGTGAACCCGTGACAGGTGACCTACTTTTGTTGCATCTTGGGCCTATCCCATTACCAGTGGCAGTGGAAAGGCCATGAAAGGCCGGTTTATTCCTCCGCATCACCTGCCTGCCCACTTCGCGGTACAAGTTCGCCAAGTTGAACCAGTTCACCTGCCAGTTGACACTCGCAGCTACGCTTCAGGTGCAAACCAGTTGTTCAGCATTCTTCTCAGCCGGCTGAGGATTCTTGCCGCCCCCGTTTCTGGTGCCATACCCATATGCCAAACCTTCATATTTCAATCACTTTGTCACCTTCAATTCTTTCGGTTTAAGACCCAACCCGTGTGCGCACCCGGTCACAGATGGCCAGCGTGGCACTGGCTACCCCGCGCTTGACAAAAAGCTGCCAAACCTGGGCGGAGGCATCGGAGGCATCGGAGGCTTCACCGAAGGAATTGCGCTGCAACAGGCATTCACCCACTCCAAAAAGGGCGCATGGGCGCGCACACATGCTATAGCGGCTATGGCCTGGCTATGCCTGGCCCGGCCCTCCTACCACCCATCCTAGACCTGGCAAAGCCTCACCGTCACAATGTTCTGGAAAAGAAAAGGCGCACACGCCCAGCCCAACTTTTTGAGCTAAGACACAAATCTCGACCACAGATTGGTGATGGCTTCTTGGTTCATCGCCTGCAAGCCCCCTAAAATTCCAAGCGCGGATCCCAAAAATGAAAGAAACAACGACATGACTCATGACTAAAGACAGACTCAGGATACAACTCTCGCACATTGTCGCATGTAGTTCTTCGTAATTCAATACACGCTGCATGAACTGACCAAACTGTTCCTCAGCAGATGGTCAGATTCCCGCCCCTCACAAAGAAAGCCTGAGCTTGTGGATCTCCTCGCAATGACCTGCCGACAAAGCACTGCTCACGCCATCGCTCACTCCTCCGTTCGTCATCGCCCGGACGGGTCGGACGGGCCGGACGGCCTCTCGAATCGATCCTTCCGGTACCAACATGTGCAGAGAACGTGCGGGGCCAACGGGATGAGGCAGCACCAACAGGCCTAGCATGGCCCAGCAAGCTGCCAAGCGAAGTGACGACGGCGAAGCGAAGGGATTTTTTAAGAAGATAGCCTAGCACAATCATGCAACAAGAAGCTCAGCCCGTGCACAGCGAAGCGAAAAACATCGAAAAACCGCCGAGGATCGGGCCCGCAGCAAGTAGTACAGCTTCGGAACCTTTGGCACGAAGCCCGCCGGAGAGATGGCGACCATGCGTCGGACCTCAGAGCACTCGGGGCATCCGTCCTCATCCGCGCCGTCCGCGCCGGTCCAACGTGGTCCGACGAGAACCTTCTGGGCGCGGCGGCTCGACGAGGATAGCGGTGCGCAAAGGCCATGGCCACAGCCCCTGGGCGAAGCGCCAAAGGCGCGCAAAGCGCGAAGCACGGCTGGGCACGGACGACACGGAACGTCCAAACCGACATCGGCCACGCCGCCGGCGCCCCATCCAAAATATCCAAGAAAGGCGCCTCCCAAGCTGAAGCCCACTAAGTTGACACGTGATTCGCCCAGACCTTGGTCGAAGCTGCGAAGCTCGCCGGGCAGCGCCCCGCAGTTCTGCATGGTGGGAACTCACTCGCAGAACCGGTTGGCCCACCGAGTGCGTGTAGCAAGTCGGCGGTCTGCTCGGCGAAGAAGCCCAAGTCGTACCTGCAGGGTCGGCGCTCAGACCGCGCAGACCGCGCCGCGTTCACCATCCGAACCCCCGGCGTGCCTTCCCCTGGCGCCGCTCATCGAACAGCAGCCCGGAAGACAACAGGATGAGCATGCGCCACTGGGGCACAAGTCCTATGATCAGCCGAAAACGGATGCAAGATCTTCAATGCAAATCTTGCAGCTGAGGTGCTACAGGCGGCGCATTACTCAAGCCATGGCCGTAAAGGTCCTCAACAAAAAAGCAAACTAGACATGTTCGATCTGTTTACCAACGAACACTTCCCGTGACGTGACTTCTTGACTTCAGCGGCCCGAGGGTCGAAGGTCAGAACACGAAAACCTCCATGCCGTGCCAAGTACACCGCAGTGTCCTGGCGACGAAGCAAGAAACGAAGCGGAAGGTCCTGGAGACCCCAATGGAGACATTTCTGCGATTCAGGAGGTATATTTTTTGGGGGGGCATACTGAGGATGAGCGAAGAATCACCCTGCTTTGGTCCAAGAGTGTTGCAACTTGTGCAACCGTCCTGGAAAAGCATCCGCGTTCCATTCAGACCGTGAAAGCACACCACCACCTGCGGCACAACAAGCTTTCATGCGTGGAAATCAAAAAGGGGGACACAAAAATGTGCCGACCATGGCATGGTGACTTCAAGATCTCCAAGTGTTTATTGGTCTGTCATCCTTGATGTCTTTCCTTGGCGTCTGGCCTCTCCATTCTCTGGACCAAGCCAGGAATAGTTGATCGCCCCAAAGGTGCTGCCAACGACTTGCGCCTAAGACTGTCTCCACCACCGAACCAGCGGAACAGGGAACGAGGGGATCAGAGAAAACCAGTATATAGTTGTTCCCTTTTTTTGTAGCCTGCTCTTACTTAATTAAGTAGGGGAGTAGTTCGTTACTAGCCATACTTAAGCTTCCAGTAACTGGACGCAGGATAGCCAGGATAGCTCACGCTTCTTCAAGGAAGCTCCCCCCCGCCTGAGGGCGGGCGGGAGCTGCGATCGCACTAATGATTTGGTTCCTAGGTTTTAAGGGGAAACTTAACTTTGTGTTACTGTTACGTTGTTACTTTGTCGTTCCTGCATTTCTTGACATCCCTCGCCACAATATGACATCGCCTGCGGGTATGGGCATTGCACCTCACGGAAACACCGCGGAACCTGGACAGCGGGCTGATGGTGCAACAACAGCAACACGTGCTTAGTATGTGTAATTCCCGAACCATCCAGCAGGTTTCAGATGCTGATCCATCCCCAGCCTGGCGCTCCGACCTGCAACGCATTGCCCGGGCTCCATCAGGGCGAACCTGAAGAGAGCATCTACTGATTAGTTTTGGGATGACGTACCCCTGCACATCACCATCATCACCCAAATGGCCCACCTCAGACGTTCCCAAAGAGGCTCCCATGTCAACTCAGGCGTGGCGCATTCTGAGCCATAAACCATAAGCATCACGCGTGGCCCAAGAGCCGCGTGCCAGTATATGGCAGTATGTGAGTCATGTCGAGTCATATGACAATGCTTATTGTTAAGAAAAATTGTCAGACATGCCCTGAACACCGAGCTCACCCTTTGCCACGATCACCTCATCCTCGCACTCACGGCCCTGATCTTCGCAGCAGCCGGAGCACGGTAGTCGGAGCCGACTTGTGCGTGCCCCGACGGTCAAAATCGATTACTCCAGCGGCTCGAACAATGGGAACGCTGCGCAAGCAGCCCCCAGGAAGGGCCTCACTTGGCCTCGGAACAGCGCAGGGATGCTCTCCACCATCTTGTCCATGCATTCGGGGCGCGTCGTGATGTCAGTATGCAAACAAAAGGGTTTGCAAGTGTCCACGACCGTTTGCTTGAACCATAATCCCGCAGCATCCCCCAGCTTATCGCACGCCGAATCACAAAGAGCCGGGTCAGTGGTCTTGGCGCCTGCAGGGCGAAACACGGAGACATCAAAAACACAACAGATGCCTGCGGCAAGTCAACGCTTTCAAACCGCCTGCAGGACACTGTTTGGGGTCCCAAACAGTGCGCAACGCGGGGTCTTCGATCCGCCACGCGCGCAACTCGACGCTCGTCAGAGAATGCAAGAGTAACACTTCCCACCTGAGACCGTGGACCTTTCTTTCACCGGATCTTTCACCAACTGCTCCACCAAAGCTGTGGCGTCTGGAATCTCCTGGGTCAGCTTCCGCAAGATGGCCAGCAGCGGATCAAAGTTGTTCCGCACATTCTCGGCAAAGGCTTCCCAGTAGCCATCGAAATCACCTGTCTTAGACTTGTTCCGAGCAGCTTCCCACAAGCACACGGAGCCTAAAATCTCAGAACATGTTGCGCTTGACTGTCACGCGCCACGGCTGGAAAACCAACGTATATAAGCAGAAACCAGAATGAAAACTGGATACCATTCCAGTTATGCTTTCAAAAACCCAACCAGAAAAAAAAAAATCCACAGGAGCACACCGGCCTTGAGAGCACACCTTGCCAGGACCCCCTTCCCGTTCACACAGGTTTCGGGCACCAAAGATCTCACCCTTGGCATTCGTGACACAGCGTGTGCGCTCCAACACGTCCTGCAAAAAAAGGCGCACTGTCAACAATAAACTGGATTGACAAAAACCAAAAACTTCATTCCTCTATTCAACCCTTTTTTTGACATTTGAGATTTTTTCTTGGGAATGATTGGTGCATATGAAAATATTGGTGTGTAGGCAATGCAAGGATTTATTTTAAAAAAAGAACGCTTCAGATAGTTGTATATATAAAATAAGTTTTTGGTGGAGATGTTGTGATGTCGTCAAATCCTCCCAATCATAAAAATATACCATCTTTACCTCGACTACGCGATAGGGGCTCACGCGGGGCGCGCGCGCTGCTTGTGACAACTATTAAAAGGCTATATAGAGGTGGTTGTGCGATTGTGAAACCAGGTGCGACGAGTGTTGCAAGCACACACACCCAAAAAAAGAAAGGAACGTACTCTCCCTCCTCATCCCTCTCTTGACGCTGTAATTCTGCCGTGCTTTCATGGCACTTGTTCCCAATGCCACAGGGAAGGCAGGGAGTGCCAGGAATACAGGGCCTGGCGTCCCTGCATTGTCCCCAACACTCGGGATAGTTATAGCTGCAAGTGGTTCGGAAGCTGAGGAAAATCTCCAAAGACCTCTCGAGAAGAGGCACATACTTTTGGGCCATCCGTCTCAGCGCCTCAAGCCTCACTTGTATTGCAGTTCCTTCAACTGTGCGGGCCCACTCGGCCAAAAAGTTCAAGTGCAGAAGAACAAATTGAAATTGGAAATAGAAGGCACCCTTGTATAGAAAGTGCTTGCAAGTGTCCGGGGGCGAGTCATTGAACCGGCCATTGCTGTAGCAGCCCACGCTTGCTCCAAAAATGTCTTTCATTTGGCTTTCCATGATTGAAGTCTTCGTGCCGTAATAGGCCACTTTCTGGACACGATACTCTCCCGCCGGCATGGTGTCTGTGATGGGGTGCAAGTCAAGTGGCATGGATTCCAGGCTTCGCACCAGGTCAGAAACCGTCTCCCTACAAGATACTAAAGCTGACTCTACCAGCTGTTTCTTCATCATGTCTCCGACCTCCTTCATGATCTTCTCATACAATGCCTTCAATGCCTTTTCGATTTGTTCCCCGATGCTGGGCGAGGAGGACCCAAAGAATGCCAAAGCAAAGGTCAAGAAACCGGACAGGAACGGCCCCACGGTGGGAACGAAGTTCGCCATGTTGGCCGCGATGCCTCCGAAGCCTTGGACGAAATCCACCCATTTGACCTTCCCATCCTTCGACCAGCTGGTGGCAAATGCCACGGTGTAAAACATTCCCTGGATCATGGCCCCTTGGAAGGCCAGGTTGCTTTTCACCACCTTGCCATCTGTCCCAATCCCGCTTGGCCACTCCATCTTGTCCCATTTCACTTTGCCAATGCCATCTGCAATATCTTTGAAATCTTTCAATTTGGCTTCCTGATGCTCATAGGCCGCGGGTTTCAAAGGTGCAGGGCATGGTTTCTCCCACTTCGCCAGCCAAGCATCAACATCCTTCACAGACTTCCAACCCAAGCCCACGCTCTGCCCCAATGGCAGCAGCTCAGAGTGGTTGCTGTATGGCTGCATGATTCGCTTGAAAGACGCCACGCCCTCCGGAGGAACACAATTTTCCCAGGCCTTTGGATCGTTTGGATCAACCTTGAGGACGCTCCTACCCACCGGAGCGTGGAAGGGAAACCCCACGGCCGGTCGTGTCAAGAGGCTCGTGGAATCATTGCAGGTCTGGTCTTCAATCGGCGTGCCGCGCGGTGCACCGAGAGCGAGCAAGAAGTGAAGTGAAGCCAGGAGGAAAGCCATCGGCGGCCTATGAGGCCCCGAAGGGCGCAATGAAATTTGAGCCAAGCTTGCAGCAAAGGCCGCACAAAATTCCGTCCCATTCGTTGAGGTTCCGCAGGCAATGCAAGTGTCGACAGCTCATGCAGAAGGTCAAAAAAGAAGGTTCAATAACAATGAAGGGATAGAAACACCAGCACGGAACCCTCAAAACAATCATGATGTTAGAAAGAACGAATGGGTCATAGACACAGTAGGGCATGGGGCGATTGAAGTTTTGTTATCTACATTACATGTGCCAGCCTCGTATGCCAACCATTTGGTTTGCCAGCTGGCGGAACTATCAGGCAGCACATTGCACAAACAGTCACACACCCTACCTCCAATTGGATGGGCGGTGCCTTGGGATCAACACTTATTACTTGGAGGCGGGGACCACTGTTTCCTTTAAAAAAGATTGAGGTCCTTCATGTTGTGGTTTAACACATCCAGTCTGACCATGCGCACGTGTGTCCTGTCATGATTTTCGCAACTGTGGCTTCACATCTGTGTTCTCATATGTGCGCTCCATCTGTGTTTGTGCCACCCTCTGTTCCAAAGACTTTCTGTTCTGTTCACCCAAGCCGCAGGGGGATGGAGAAGACATGTGAGGCTCCATCCAACGAAGCTCCTCACATGTTCCTAGGATATCATCAAGGACGCCTGATGACGTACCTGTGCCGTGACGCTGCCCCACTTTTCCTTGCTGTGGTTTGATGCCACGGTTCTTTGATCACGATACCTCTCCCCACAAACAGGTTTCCCTCCGCCGCTTTCCACTGTTGTGCAGCTGCAGTCGCGCATCAACATTGTTGAACTTTTCAGTTTTGCTGATTTGCGCCATTCCGTTCCCTCACTCCTTTCGACGTGGAACAGAGTTGACTGCAAATTATCTAAGTGTGTGCAAGCTACGCCCTTGTCTGTGTCTTCTCACACGCGCTCATACCTGTGTAGCGCTGTCTGTCAGAAGCGCGCGTTCTCATACATGTGCTCCGTGTTAAGTGCACGCCTGCCCGTATCCCATGCGTGCGCATCAAGTTTTTGGGACAAAAGGCGGCAGCGTGCAGGAGTCCGCAACACAACGGCACGTTTCGCTGTTCATTTCAGGCCACGGCTTCTTGCACAATGCCAGCTTTAGCAGCCACAACATCATCTGCAGTTTTCATATCACCCTTTGCTGCTTGCAGTAATAAATTGTTCAATGATTTGTTGTGCGCTTCATAAGTCATGTGTTGTTTTTTGACCCTATCCCTGTTTCAGGCCGTTTCCAGTCCAAATATTTGCCCTACGCATGCAGCACCGTTAACGCAACCATGTTCAACCACCGCCACCAAAAACAGACAGACCTCCAATCCCTGCGCTCGGGGATGCCCGCGGACAGTTACAGCAAAAACATGTGTTCTATTTTCATGACCTAGGGTGCAAACAAGCCGTTCCTTTTCGGTTTTCACCAATTCCTCGTGTAAGTTCCGGACACATTTTTGCGAGCATTTTTTCCCTATGCCGCTGACACTCTGGGCCATCCGCACAGTTCCCCACAACCTTCCGTCTGCACAAGGGGTGAAGCATGAACACGAGGATGGTAGTTTCCTGGACACCCGGTGCCCACAATGAACCAAGCCCGCGCAGCCACCAGCTTCTTGGTTTTCGAAATCCATGTTCCATGTTTCACAGCCCAAGGCATTCAAGCAACGGACCCCCGTTGCCCACATTGCACGCACGTCTTGCGCCGTTCCACTACTCCCCCTCAAAAGAAGTGTCGCTTGGATGTCAAGCAGCACAGGTGGGACTCTGGATCTAAGAGGTTGTGAACATACCTTTCGAGCCTACCCCATACCCAGGGTCCGTCGCTTCGCACAGGGAAAGAAAACCGCACCTTGACGTGGAAACCGCTCGGCTGGCTTGTAAACCTGCCGAGTCCAACGTCTTGCTGCGCGATGCCAACTTCAAATGACCTCCACTGTCAATTTTGACTTTGACTTTGGCCTGTACGCCGTCAGGCGGGCCCGTTTTGGGCGCAGGCGCCTCAAGTGAAACCAAATTACGCAAGAGAAATTTCAGAACGTTAGGCCAAGCAGAAATCGACAAATTCATCCCTGTAATGGTCCCAGTTTGAGAAATCCATAAACCTCCGATCTCCCAAGCCTTTGTATCGGCAAAAATTTTCCAATTTACTGTGCCAAAGTTCTCTCGGTCGTCCAACTCTACGTCGCCCAACCGGGTTCCAAGCCAAAATTCGTCGGACCCAACGGTTTGGAAACACGAGAGAGATATGCCGTGCAAGGGTCCGGTATTGGTTGCACCACCGGGCGGCCCAAGTTTGGATTTGTGAGTGTGCGATGAACATACGCACCCTTTCGTTCCAAGCATGAAGAACCTCGTGCCACTCCAGCGACCAGTCCGTACCCGAAGGTGGTAACACGATGTTTCGGCAAAGTTTTCTGAACACAGCGTCCAAAGTGTGCAACTGTTTTTTGTGGATTGTTCGGTGTCCTGAAGCAAAACATGCGACACCGGAAACACACGCGTCGAAGTATTTCAAACGGTCACCAAGCCTTGCCCCGCGATCCAGCAAAATGCGTTTGTTGGCCCAGAAAGCTTTCGTTGCTTGTTGCAAATGATACTCCATGTCCACATCTTGACCTGCGGTACCGCGTGCTGTCAGCATGCACCCGAGCCATTTGTGGCCTTCTTCCGACTGAATGATTTGGAAAGAAGGGCCAGTTGGCAAAGTCAATTGTTGAGGAGGTTGTGCTTCATTGGTCGGGAACACGGCTTTATCAGGATCCAATACCAAGCCAAAATCAATTCGGTCTCACTCGCTGACGCGGCGAACAAAACGTCATCTGTGAATCTTAATTCCAACAAACGCTCCATGCCCCCACCCACAGCACAACGCCAGATTTCCATTGCTTCTTGCAAGACTGCACTGAACAAACGCGGGCTTAAGACACACCCTTGTCGCACACCTGCTGAAATTGAAAATGCGCGGTTCCGGCCACTCTCGTTTTTCACTTCCCCAGTTTGATTTTCGTAGTTTGTGCAATAGCCAAATCAAATGTTGAGAAACGCCTTGTTTTTCCAGTGCTGTCCATAAGGCGGGCCAACGCACACGATCGAAAGCTTTCGACAGATCCAAGCTAACAATCCAAATTGTTTTGCCAAATGCCCATCCCTTATCCAAAAACATGCTTGCAAGCACCAAATGTTCCTCCAGGCGGCGGTTTGGGCGGCGGTTTGGACGAAAGCTGTAAGTTGCACACACATATCCAAAAGGCACTGCAAAAACTCATCCGGGATAAATTCCAAAAGTTCCGCTGCAATGCCGACAGCGTCGGGGGCCTTGCTCACTTTCAACCGACGGATCGCTCGCTGCAATTCTTGCAATGTAAATTCCACTTCACCCAAATGGACCGGGCCAACGGAAACCAATTCAAAGAGACCAGCAAATTCGTCAGCGAGCGGTTGTTGAACCATCTGCAGACAATTGCCTCCGTAAGTCCTTCCAACATGAACTGTTCTGCAAGGCCGGGTTGCTCTCCAATTTTTCAGTTCCGAGCGGTGCAATTTTCGCATTTGCACGCCTCCTATCACATCGGAGAGTTCGTAGTTGTGTGGACGGTGAGAAGTGTATATTCATCGGCCGAGGTTCTCCGCAAACACGAGCGGCATTCAAAAGAATGTCCTCCAACTTGTGCCATGTAAGTGTTCCAATCCGCAGTAGTTCTTGCGAAATGAACGCCTGGTATGAAGATGGAAGTTTGTTATGATCAAGTTTTGGCTTCCAATTTTTGAGACGATGGTTTCGAGGCACAGGCCTTGGAGAACACGATGCCAGTTCTAGAATGCAATGGACGCATCTGTGACCCAACCCAATCGGCAACGCAAAGTCACACCAGGGTTTGACCAAACGAAGCCTCCACTGTGAAAGACATACTTTTCAGGTCTGAGGGATTGTGCTGGTTTGTAGGCCAGCCAAACCGGATTGCCAGCTCCTCGGCTGGGCGGCCCGAGGCGGGCCGTTGCCGGCACTCCCAAAAGAGATGCCGAACATCGGGGCGACGCAAGTTGGGCTGAGAAAACCACCAGTGAGAACTGCCACTGCTGCACCTGTTGTGTCGGCGAGCTGCCTGAGTACAATAATGGCACTGTTGACATCTCCACCATGTGGTTGAAGTTCGGTCCAGCAAACTGTTGGACTCTCCAGGTGCGTTTGCACAGGCTGTAGTGCCACAAACACCCACGAGTGAGCCAACCAAGCAACCCAACCAGCCAACCAACCAACCAACCAAGCAAGCAACCAAGCTCCAGGAGCATCGCACGTGCAAATTGAGCCAACAATTCTGAGCGGGGGCCCGAGCTTCGGCAGCGCATCGCTTGGCCCAAAGCAACACCTTGAAAACATAAGTCGGCTGATTGGGGGACGAGGCCAACTGCATTGCGGAACCGGTGCCAACCTCGAGCATTTGGACAAATTCCATGTCCGATCGTCCATGTAGATAACATGCGGGTGGTTGTTCAACTGGTTGGTATTTTGTCCCTCCCCCGGCGGCATGTGTCTCTCAGAGTTGCGACCGTGTCAGTCTCAGCTGGCCAGCTACACATCCGCTCAGAATCGAGGAAGGTCCAACGACCAAATCCAAGCCAAGGAAGTCCAACAGCAAATTCACGGGGGAATCCAAGAGATGAGCGCGCCGGCGCGGGGGGCGGTAGCCGCGAAGAGGGAGTCGTCTGGGCTCAACTTGGGTGCCTGGGTGGATGCGAGTAGCTGGTCCCATGCTGGTGGGTTCCATCCGTGTTGCTGATGAGCTGGGTTGTTCGGCTGACGGCTTGGAACTGTTCTGGTGCGGTGGTTGGGTTGGACAGGTGTTGAAGAAAGGTGGCTGCGAGATCGGGCTTTTGGGTGTGTAGGACTTCTGCCCATGCAGCGTGCGCCATACAGGTGGCAGGAGGTAGGCCCAGCCCTCCTACTGCATTTGGGCTAGGCGGGCGCTAGCATTCGAACAACCCCCTGGACTTTCCTTTGCCCATCGTG